TTCAGATTTTGCATTGGCTCATTTGCTAATTTAAACTAATTTGAATGAAAGTTTAAATCTCTGCTGCTGCATGTGAAGTGTAGAGTAAGGATTACCATAAAATAGATCAATGCTGCCCCCTGCAGGTCAAATTGAGAACACCATTTATTTTCAAAGAAATTAAAACAAATGCTAACAAATACTAAGATAAAAAAAGCTATCAATCAACAGATGCATATCCCACGCACGCATGCACGCGCAGGCACACACACACGCTACTGGTTCACAAGAAATCCCCAAAAATTGTAATGTATTATTATGTTATTACATTATTTTATATGAATAGGGAGTAACACAATTCATCTTTTCACGGCAGCCATTTTGACATGAAGGTTGTGCTCTGTTTAGAAAGAGGCTTAATTAATGTGATTAGTAACACCTGTTTCATTTCAAAATGGCTGCTGTGAAAAGCGTCTAAACTGAATGTCCTTCCACAAGCTAACAAAAGTGCCAATGGCACTCAAACCTCTACACTTTTAGTCTGCTTGATGAATGAAGAATATGAGTAAGAGAAACAGGGAAGACAAAATGCTTGCATGAACAGAGGATGCATCATGAGTGATCGAGGATTGTGAATCTTTGACAAAATACGAATACTTGCATATAGCCTGTTTAAAAATGAAATGTATTCACATGTGATATTAACCAAAACACACACCTTACGATTGTTAATTGGAGTGCTAACTTTGGGGTATTTTAATCATCTATTACGAAAAAATAAACACAAGATAAAAAGATTTTCAGTTTACAATGATAACAAACAGAGAAAATCATAAAATCCTCACATTCGAGAAGCTGGAACTAGAGAATGTTCAGCACTTTACATCAATAAATTTGATTTGAGCTTTTGTTTCATAATTGGTTCAAGAGATCTCGCTATGATTTTTAAAGTAAATATCTAATGCCTATGTAAATACAGTATCTAATCTAAAACACACAACCGAACAAGTTGACAAAGTAATGAAGCAGGTTAGTATGAAGCAGGTGAGTTGCATGGGTCATGATTCTGAGGATCAGCTGTCACCATGAGAAATTGGTACCCTCCAGTTATTTCTGAAAGTATTATCTTTTACCCTGTTAATACCCTGCAGGCAGGACATGAGGGTTAGTGAACAAAACCACATACAGTGTGGATCCAATAAGTGTAATGCTCAATAAACTATTGAAAAGATATGGTTTAGGTGTTAATATTACTACGCTGCACATGACAACATAATAGCATCAACGAGTTTGGAGTGTTGGGTTGAGTCTCAGAGCTTCAATGGAACTTACTTTTGGTTTCATGAGGGGGAGCACCAGGGTTTTGGAAGGAGGAGGCAGCAAGCTGGAGTATGGGTGCAGAACCAGGGTGATTGTCTGATGACAAGAGGGGAGGGGGCACAGGGTGGGAGAGAGTGAGAGAGGTGTTTTAATGGAGAGCTCACTCAAATTACAACATGACCTGAGTGAATGAATGGATGTGAACTGTAGCTGCAAATTTCCAGCTCATATGGGAAACATCCATCAAACCAGGCATGAGTGCAATATGAATAAACTTGCCCATCAGGAGTTGGGTGGATGGTGGTGCAAATGATCACAATCAGCAAAGCATTAGACAAAAAGGAGAAGGCAAGCGGGTCAAACACAATGCACAGGAGGTGAGATGTGAGTTGTAACCACAAGAGGGCAGTGATGGATCATACATTGACAATAAGCTGGAGTGCCTGTCCACTGGTTCCCAAAATGAAGTAGAGAGAGCTGAGAAAGAGACAATATTACTTCAACCATGGAGGTTATGTTTTCACCCCTTGTTTACTTCTTTGTTCTGCTAAGGATTAAACAAAAAATACGGAACATAAATCCACAAAACATTTGGGATGGATGGGACACAAAAAGATAAGACATAGGATTGTGGGACGGATCCGGACAATGGGGCGAATCCAGGCATTGTTTTCTTGAACATTGTGATATTGGGTGTTTTGATCATTTTTTCCAATGTCCCAGAGAATAATTCCTGAATTGTAATGAAACAAATCAGGCACATTGAAACAACTGCTGTCTGTTAGTGTGGACAAATTGGTGCAGCATGGTTGAATTTAGAGGGATAGTTCACCCTAAAATGAAAATTCACTCATTAAATAGTATTTGAGTTGACAATTTTTGGTGTTTCAGGAATAAACAATGATGCAGCCAAATCCAATGCAATTGAAGTAAATGGTGACTACTTCGTCATCCAAGTGTCCGTCAGTCCCAACATTCAAATTCAACTTGAAACTGCGTCATTTACACAATGTTTTTAGCCTAAATGTCTGGTGCTATCATCCTAGCCCAGAGTCTCGCTCATTCGCACGTGCATGCACACCGCACAAGCTCTCGTCTAGCTAGCGCAAGTTATTGCAGCAGTAACTGCAGCTATCGCGAGGTCTTGCTGCTCTTGTCTCACGCCCCTAGAGTGAGAGCTTGTGAAAGTGTGAACGCAGCTCTGCATGGCTAATGGGCTAAAGATGCCATTTCGAGTTGAACTTGAATGTCAGGGCTTATGGACACTTGGATGACACCAGAGGAGCAGTATGGAGGCCTTTTATGTTTTTTTTCTATTGTTCTTTATGTTTGAAGACGTGGTCACAAGTTTCTTCAATCTACTGGATTTTGCTGCATTTTGTTTATCCATGAAACTCCAAAAAGTGATTTGTGGACACTTCACTCACCCCTCCATCAGCATAGTGGTGAGTAGATAATGAGTACATTTTCATTTTTGGGTGAACTATCCCTTTAAGGGGACAGTTGGGCCTTGGCGGAGGTATGTGCTCTACTGAGTTTCATTCTGTTTACTTCATTGGATCATTAAAGTCAAAGGTATGACTCACTCTACAGATATATATCAGAAAATACATATGTAGTATTAACAACTGCCTTGAGACCAAACTGCACGGACAGGAAACTAACCCCTAAATCTCACTGACAAATTACTGCCTAAGGTCTGTGAATTATTTGGAATGGGATGCTATTCTATGGAAACCGGTCATAGTATTATGTTATAAGAAAAGGGGCAAGGCAAAATACTACGACAATCTTTAGGACTTTTATATTGTCTCCAGGTGAAAGTCATTTTCAGACATGAACTCCAGATATAATGCCTGGACAATTGGGTCCGGATCCTTTTACACATAAAAAACAGCAGGAGATTCTCCGGGTCAGATGCATTCACAACAACAGGACACACTCAAAAGCTTTTAGGTGAGCGGTGGTGCCTGGGTAATGCATGCAGGAGGCAAGACATAAAACATAAATTCTGCTGTAGAGACATTTTATTTACAGCAAATCGACACCAGTGTCAGCCCTTATCACCAAAAGCTCATGAATCTCTGTCTTTCAAAGTTGTCATCTTTGTCTTCTCCGTAAATGACACCTCTTTTTCATCATGAGATATTTTTATTCTATTCATCAACGCACCCACTCACTCATGGTGAATCCTAGGGGGATTGCAGGACAAACTCCAGAGACAGTCAGTGCATGTCTGAGAGCAGCTAGTGTTTCCCTTTTTTGAAGTTATTGGAGAGTAAATGTGCATTTCAACAGGAGGAATGTTCCTTATGTTATTATTATTATGTAATTATTTACCCTAGCAGTAACTGTAGTTTCCATTTCAAAATACATTTTAAAGGTGTTGAGATACAAGAATATTTCAGTACAGTAGCAGACTCCAGGAAGTTTCTGGTTAGTCTTGCAAACAGCTCCCTGTTAAATTGAACGTTTTTTTTACCCCCTGTACTGAAGTACTATCTGTCAAAAAATCTCATAATATCTCCTTTGAAATCCAAAGTTGCCGCGGTAACCATGGTGATGCTTTTAACATGAGAGAATTGAAACTCATTTCATGGACCTATTGCTGTACTTACACTGTAATATAAAGTTCAACTCTGCATGACAAACAGCAACAGAATAATACTTACCCCATAATTACAGTGAGCACCAGCCAAGAGAACATGATCACACTGCAACAACAACTATGAACAAAGACCCTCACTGGTGACCATGTTCTCAGGTTGAGATTTACTGACACGCTGGTAAGAGATTAAATGACAATAGTGAGTAAGTCCTAATACAGGTCTGAGATAAGTTAGAATAATGTTTAGACTTTAGACACTTACTATGTCGTCGTTACTGAATGTCTATTTCCCACCCTGTTCTGTTGACATTGTAGTTGGTAACTTAAATTGTGCAGAAGACCTTCAACCGTACAAGGGAATAGTCACCATCTTGTCCTATATTCTGAATTATCAACATTAGTGTAGACCAGTATCTGCCATTTGAATTGTTGTTTGAAGTTGTCGCAGCGAACACAGTGAGAACACTTAAACTGCTCTGACACTAACAAGGGTTAACAGCAACCAAAAATAAAGAGAGCGTCACTGCAGGGACTATGCTCTTCATTACAATCTTATGATAGCAGTTAAGCTAATAAGGTCATTCACAGTCGATTATTGCATTTGGAGAAGCATGCACATTTTGCGATGCCAGTGTGAGAAGACTGAATCAGACATTATTGATGCATTTTAACATGTCTAGATCCAGTTTTGTGAGTACCTCCACAAAAACAATCACTATTTCCACATAAACTGATGCATCGGATCATTGATTGATCTGGTTGTTCTTTCAGTGGTCAGAGGGAGTAAATAAGATGTCTTACTTGTGACAGGGGCTGCGTTGTTTGGTGTGTCTGCCCTCAGGTACTGTGTGGTCTGGGTGGATGGCTGAGACAGACCCTGTGAGCTCCCACTGTCACTTACACTGAAAAACACAGAGAGAGAAAACATGAAGTTCTAATCTGAAGGCTCCTGGATCGTGCACTAACTACAAACTAGTCTCATCTTGTTTCAATGGTACAACTTGATGGCAAAACCTGATTTAATTAAATCAGAATATAAAATGTTGGCATGACTATTTAAAAAACAAAACAAGGTGGAATATACACTCAGTTGTTTAGGAACATATATTTAAAACTAATGGAGTCTAAACTTTTTTATTTATGTGTTGACAGTGATAACTTCAGTTTAATTACACTACCATAAAATTAGTGCAGTTTAAAATGTAATAAACAGGTGTCCAACACTTTGAAGCAGCAGCAGCAGCTGCGACAAATCAATGTACGTGACGTTGTGAATTACAACCACAGCATTTTCACAACAACTGATTCGACAGTTTGGGTTTCTGCGTCAAACTTCACAGAAACTTTAAATAGACAAAGGCACAGCTCAGTGTTCTGCGGTGGTACTGTGTCCAGCAGCCAGGCTTTTCTAGCTGCAGCTCAGTTACTGCAGGCCCCTTTACAGTTTTACAAAGAAAGCTCCAACCAGCATACCACAGGCCAAGCAAACAACCCATTCCAAAGAGGGAGGTTTAGAGTGAGCACTGCATTAGTAGGTGAAAAAAGAGAAAGACCTCTCCATACAATGTAGCACAGTTTCAGCTATGGTAAATATCACATTAGACAGACATCCATGACAAAAGAAAAACAATCTTTATGCTATTTAAATGTACCACTTTCTCAATGGCTAACCTCTCTACAGTGCTGATCTCATTTCACACAGATATCTGCAGAGCTGCCCGCAGCCATCTGGCCTATTTTTGTTGGTCTTTGAATAGAGGGATTCTGCAGAAAGTACTAAAATAACTTTCACAGGTGACAGATAGGAGGCTGTAAATCCACTCAGCTGAATGCTGGTTCTCTTCAGCTTCACTATAATGAGCGTACTTTCCATAACAATGGCAGTGATGTCTTTGGAACCCGGACAAACTAAAGAAACAAACCTGTCCTCCATCTCCACTCTCTTCATGCTGTGCAGGTGCAAGATGGCCAGGATGATGGCCACGAGGAAGATGACGATGCAGCAGACGCTTACGCTTATATAGAACACCTGAGTGGAGCTGGTGGGGGGGGTCACACCATCTACTGATGAAAACAAGCCACAGGTTAACAATCTCGCTGTAAAATTTGGTGACTATAGCATCACAGTACACAAAATAACATTGTCATTAAAAAAGCATCAACTGTGTTATTTAAAAGCACAGCATCAAAATGGAAGTAAGGCAATGGGATAAAGACATGAGTGAGTTAGAGCGAGGGGGAAAGACATGATAAGTGCACTGAGGGCTCCACTTAGGGTTAATGGAGGCCTGGAATAGTGGAGGCTGTGCCCAGGATCCAGTGTCAGAGAGCTTTTCTCATCACCTCTCTAAAAGCCTTGGAGGGCCCCAGGTTCCTTGGGCTTACCGAAGCAGAAGGGAGACAAGCAACTAATGGTGCTTTGTTACTGGGGCAGTGGGCTCAAGAGAATAAATCTCACTGGAAGAGGACACCCACTCCAATGGGTGGGGGCTGACAGAGCACATTTTAACAGCAGAATGCATCCATCTCTCTGGGCTCTGAAATCATATGCCTTGGTTATGGAAAGTCTGACTAACGTGCACTGCTGTACAGAGACTTCCTAAATGTAATTCAGCCTCTGTCTTATCAGGCTGATGACACCATGCTGGACAAGAGATGGAGCTGGTGGAGAGAGAGAAATTAAGCAGGATGTGAAGGAAACATTACAGTCTTACTTACAGTCAGGCCGCTCAAGAGTGTTGTTGTTGATGGGAATGGGACTGGGAATCTTTGGGTCGGAATCGATTCCTGTGAAGGAAAGAAAGAAGGAAGGAAGGCAGAAAGACAGAGAAATTCAAAACATCATCCGAATGGTAGAATTTATTAACACAGTTATGAGATTTAGTGCAGTGTACGGCTGTGAAAAAATGTGTTAAATGAAAATTAAATAAAATTATTTTATTGAAACTTTGTTTCATATGGTGTTTGTTCACCTTTTTGTGAATTTGGTGAGGGTATGTGCTCTACTGACATTCTAATTTAAAGATGTGTGCGACAAAAAAGAGAAAGAGAAACTACAGAATGCCTTAAGGGAAACTAAAAATTTAAAACACCAGAAAGGCAAAAGGCCTTTCTCCAAAGTAGAAAGGACTATTTGAGGAAGTAAAGGCAATATAATAAGTTTTGTATCTCTCCTTCTCATTAGAAGACGATAAAATAGAGCTCTTGGTTGTTCATATAGAATTTTCAATTATGGTACTGTCATTGAAATATCACTAGCAGGTCCCCAGTTTATGTAAGAACCACCCAAGTAAAAAAGATATTCAGTTTCAACCAAATGCTTTATTTCTCTCTATTGATCGATGGTGTTGGATCATGAATTCCGGATCGCTTTAACCCTGATGTCCTGACTGCGCATCATGTCACACTTTGTGTGAACCGCGTGCGAGCAAAATGATTGACTGTTTTTCAATGTGTTCATGTCTCATAAACTCTCAAGAATCAAACAAACACAAAGTAAACTTAACATAACACACATAACAAACACTGGAACACCGTTGCTCACTGTGGTTGATGCTGGACACTTTTTACCATGAGCTCATCAACCGCAGTTTTAATGATGGTTTAAATTTCACGCGGTAATACCAACCATCAGATATTTTACCTTGGTTAATCGTAAAACCTGTAATCAATTCATCCCTACACTGTGTGACAGTCATTCAGACAATGGTCAATAACACTATGCAAACTGTTACTAGTCCTTGTAAAGTAACAAACTAATCAGCAATATCCAGAATATTATGATTCCTGCTGACAGTAGAGAACTATCTCCCAAACAGAGACTTTGTTCTAGGCCCAAAGGAAAAACCAGACTTTATTTTTCAATTAAGCTCTTGAGTTCAAAGGTTTATGGGTTCCATGAAAAGTTCCAGCCATTGAAAATGACTAGGGCTCTATTTTAATGATCTGAACGCATGGTCTAAAGTGCATTTAGGACATGTTGAAATCCAATTTTGCCAGTTTAATGATCGAAATCAGGTCATTGAACCAGGCACAAGGGTCAAACAGGTTGCACTTGGTCTCTGAATTAATCCTGATTGTGTTTCGGGTGTAACATGTAACGTACAATAAATCAATCAGGCTGCTGTCTCAAGCTGTCATTAAAATCCACGTTTGGAAAGAATTGGAGGGTATTGTGATGGCACATTTGCCAGGTGGTAAAAGAGAAGACTTTCCTGCAGAGGAAATGAATCTGCTTACGAACTGCGTCTGTGAAACTGGAAAACTCTCTTCCATCCTGCTTGGTGACGCTTTTATTAAGATGGAAATAAAAGATTTTCCTCAGGGCATACTGCAAGAAGCCTCTTGGCCACATGTTATTATCTTCAGAGAGTTTGAAAATAGCACAGAGCAGAACACAGAAAACAGAGAGGTATATTTCCCACTGTAAGATTCAAACACAAGAGCTAAAAAAAAGCTTGAAAACTCAACACAATCCACAGTCTATGTAGAATATAATATGAAACAAGTAATTTATAACATAACAGTGTGTGCTTGACGGTTTCTTGTCAAAAGTCCTTTTCACAGCAGACATTTTCACTTGTTGCATCAGGGAACGCACAGGTGGAAAAATACTAACAATGGCTCTACTGCTATTCATTTTATTCATTGCATTTTTGCTGTGGTATGTAAATATGTTTGCTGTGGTAAAGTCTACAGGTGAATACATTTTACTGATACATACTTCTAACCTGCATATGTTTGGATACTCACTCTTATAGCACATTTTCCTCCTCTTGAAGTTGAGCACTGTGTAGTTGTTGGCATGGATGGTCAGATTGAGCTGCACTGTTAAAACAGCCTCTCCATCGACCTCACCGGAACAAAAGAGGTCCACTCTAAAGACTGTGGAGGGAAACACAAACCACAAACATCATATGGAGAAACTTAATCAACTGCAGTGAATATTTGGTTAGAGAAAACAACATACATAGAGGAAGTAAATTTCCCATCCATTGGCTCCATAGACATTTCAGAAAATCCTCAAAAAAAAAGAAGTTTTAAGACTACACTACGAGATCAATCGTGGCTGTTAAACATTTGAGCAAATAAAATACTGTAAACCGTAAAGGTACAAGACTGTGATCATAATTATTTTAAGAGTTAAATAACTGCACATATCATAAACCATGGCGAATCAACAAGAACTCTCTTTTCATCTAAATACTGTAGCATGTTAGAGAGGGAAACAATGGTTCCTCTGTGGTAAATGTAATGAAACGTTCAACAATCTGATCATAACCGACATGATTTTTGCAGTTGTGGTAAACATTTCTATTGTAACAGTGAGCTCCACCAATCACAGCCTCTTGCCTTTACACCTAAGGGTTGTTGGTAGTGTAGTATTTCTTCTTGACATACAGACTTGTGGCTTCTAGAGGAGCACAATTCTTTCACAATCTCATAGCTCGTTGTAAGTCTACCTTGGACAATAATAATATGGCTGATTATCAGAATCTCTTTTTGTAAAATGAATGGGATTTTTATTTCCAGAACCATACTGTTGGGCTCTTTATGTTTCACGAGTGATGTTCAATGATGATTTTTATTTGTCATTATTGAGAAATGTACTTATTTACTTTCTACAGCGAGAAAATCAGCCACCAAAGCTCACTCATAAACGTGTATTGTTGTTGTTTGCTTATGCAAGTTTTTAATTTTTGCAATCTAAGTCAGAACCGTATATTTACTGAGATCAAGTCTCAAGTCTAAAATGTAAAAAAGTCTAAAAACTAGAAGCATGTTGAGCACTATGACTTCATGAGAGCATGTGACCAACCAGAGGGAACGTGGGGAACCTCCCCCTGACTGGAGATGTTGCTTCTTGGTTGGTTCATGGCAACAGGGTTCTCCACGAGGAAGCCAAGCCGGTAGTCGACCTACGAACAGTGAAAATCCAGAGTTGCTTATGTACATAAGTTGTCTTAAATGTGTACCAATGTATTGAGGTGATTATTAAATCATTACTGATGCTACTGATACTTACTTTTGTCTTGGAATGCCATGTGAAGTGAAGACTGTTGGTCTCACTGGGCACAGGCAGAGTGAAGGAGAGTGCATAGTGATTCACCACATCATCTCGCACATAGTAAAGCTCTGCATCTAAACCTGTGTGAGGACAGAGGACATAAAAGTGCAGCTGATGAGAAAGCGTTAAGGTCACTAGACATGAAAGACTTTACAAAAAAGACATGCACACAAAGACAGTCTGAGAAAAATGGTAAAACATCCACTCAAGCTGCCAGCTTGGATAATGGCGGGTTTCCCCTCAATAAGGGAGATGGACTAACCACATCTGTTAGTACTTGAGAACTCTTAGTGCCCAAGTGCAAAACTTCAAAAAGTTCAAGTGAGACAACATCCAAAATATGGCGGCAATTTTCTGTACAGGAAACAAAATTGGGTAGGGGTAGGTATTAGAAGAAGGGAGAGGAATGCCTTGGATAAAAAAAATGGGGCCTTACACATGACATCAACAAACTGCTCAACCCTTCGGTTGGGCAGATCATTAGTGTGTGTATTTCTTTATCATTCACAAAATCAAAATGAAGCCTGAATTATCTTTATCTCTTGTCTCCAACTGCATCAACAAGTCACAGAAGTCTAATGTGTTTCTGGTGAAATCCCCAATTCTGGCCTGGGGCAGCGCGATCAGTTCTTGAAAATGTCTGTCTGGCAAAGTGGTGTCTGTCTATCAGTCTGAGTATCTAGTTTAAAGAGAGGGGAAGAATGTGCCCAGGCTCCCCCAATGCCCCCAGGGCCGTCTCAGAGCTCACGCTCTTAGACCTTTCTCACATTGGCTCAATTAAAAACATTTGCAGCCATTTGCCAGTTCAGACAGAGAAGGGGTGTTACTTAAACTGGTATTTAACCAACTACAAAGAGTACGATTGCTGGCTTTCATTTACATTAGTTAGTGTGTTCCTTTTTCATTTTCACTACAACATCTGTTTGAAATTGTTTAGGGTCTATTTAAATTCAATTTGAATTGATTGATGAAGCTTAGATAAAGCAGTCTTACCAAAGAAAACTGAACTCAAGATACATTTACTGGAATTTTATATTATTTATTTCAATTTTTACAAATATTTAAGTGTAACTCACAGCCACAAACAAACCTCATTGTGAGACTTGATGACATTTCTAACACACAACAAGACTCATAACTGAAAAACACAGAAAAGAAGACACAGACGAAGATGTCAATAGAGCTTTTGGTGATACGGGCTGACGCTGGTGTTGGTGTGTTGTAGACAAAAACACAGGATCTCTGCACCCAAATTAATACAGGAGGTCCTCTGCCTGCTGCACCACCCTCACCTGAACGTTCTGGGGATTGTTTTGAAGTTGTGAATGTCTGTGAGAGGAGAATCTCCTGCTGCATCGTTCATATGTGAAAGACAACCTCCGAGGCAGGTCCAGACCGAAATGTGTGGACATGTTTCAGATTTCATGTCTGAAAACGCCTTAACAATGTCAGCAGGTGACAATTCAATGAAGGACATGAGATTTGTTTGAAAATCTCAGCAAAAGCTTGAAATAAATTCACCATGAATCAGATTCAGAAGTATGAATATAGATGGAACTGATGATTTTTTTGGTAATTATTAATTGATTATTGTTTGGTTATACAATCACAAACAGGGTTTCCCTCATCATCTTTGGTGCATCTTGGATTTTTTTGAAGAAAAAAAAAAACTAAGATCTGTAGCGCTCTGGAGACAAAAGATACTACACTGAGCTTATACTTCAGGACTAAACTAATATATGTTCAGTCATTATAACAGAAATTATTTTTAAATTGAGCATGTAACAACGTCTTTTACAAAGTGTTGTATTATGGGTTATTTGTAGGCTTATTACCTTAATTAGTATATTAAAGTCAGACTAGTGTTTCAGACTAAATCAGCCTAAATGTGTTATGTTAGCCCAGTTTAACCTGCAGCAGTGTCTGAAGGCTGGTGTCAACATGATCAGTGAAAATTACTGTTTGACACCCTCTTTAGTCTTTGCTGAAGAAATTAGTAATCAGGGAGAAAACATGTCAAACAGAATTACAGCTGTCGAAGAAGATGAGCTCAAACAGACGCCCCCAGGCCAACATAGCACAAGACCTCCAGAAACATAAAGAAAACCCTGGCAAATAATTGTTAAAAATGGTTTGACATTTTGAATGCCTTATTTGAGTAAAACTATAAAGATATTAAAGTTATCAAAATCTACTGACTAATTCCACACACGTCTGTCTATCGGTATATATGCATATCGCTGCAAAGCTTTATATTGGGCTGAATTAAAGAGCTTTTTTTTTTTTTTTTTAATTGTGAACTGTCTGAAAGGCATGTTTAGAATGGGTACTGCACTAGTGATGTAAAGAACACATAACCTCTCAATTTGTAGGCTGAAAAAAGGAAAATGCTTTTGCTTGAAAAATGACTCAAGTGGTTAATAGAACATTAAAAAGGTCCCAAATCTGATGAACCAATAGTAGTAGCAGTGAGGAATACACAAGTATTAATACATTCATATCTTAGTAGGTGGTTAAAATAGAGGACTCACTTCAAATAAGTGAGTGGAAATGTTGGAATACAATTATTTAATGGGATTGTTTAATTGCCCCACTTTATTCCATGCACTGGTATGCAGGCAAGTATGAATTCATCCTCAGTGTAGTCTTGTAATTATTTCTCAGGTTCAACTCTGTGTGACTCCTTTGTCTCAACACAGCCCAAATAGGACCGGTGAGGTTAAGTTGTTCCTCCCACAGCTCCATAACCACCCACCCAAACTACAACAACTTCAATACAAGGATGTGAAGGAATGGCAACCGAAGTCTGTCAGTGTACACAGACTGAGGACGGGGGAATAAGTGGTTCCTGAAATCGAGGAAGTCGAACCATTCGCTGCAGTTTAATCCCTGACTCACACTCACCGCTCTCAGTAATGGGAAGACGGTGTTACTAGAAGGTGCTCCTGTAAACACGACTCTCGTTTAGTTTGCATGTAGTCACAACATGTAAAGAGTCCCCAGCACCATCATGTACTCTGTTTGCCACTACAGATGTTTCTAATGCTAACAGACTTCTTTAATGCAAACTGAAAATGACCTCATTCTGAATTCCACCTTTATTTGGCAGCAAATTTTGTTTTGAGGGATTATTTCCTGCTGGACATTTCCATCCCTCTCTGTTGGCGCCAAGTGATTAACAATAGTCAGGTCAGAATACACTATATTACCAGAAACACAAGGAAATAACCAAGTGTACTGCGTCATCCATCTTTGAGTTGTTGAAACTGATTATCACATACCAACTTCTGTTTGAAAATCACACCTAAATAATTTAGATTATCTGTATTTATATAACTGCTCAACATTGATACAAATATTTCCTTAAATATTATATGGTATTCTACCTCAGAGAAAAACTTTTTTTTGTATTAGCCTACATAAAAGGTCAGTTAGCCCATCAGCCATTAAGCACATACTGACATGTATAACTATGTTTGGATTAAAGTAGGTTACATACTGGTGCATGTTTTGAGCCACAGTATTATTGGAAGGTAAAAATAATTTGTTAAAATCAGTGCTACAGTCTGTTTATCATGCACAGTGACATGATGTGACACTGTTTATATATAAACCCATAATATATGGTGAAATCCATCATCATACATGAGCAATGTGACTCTGCGGCACTGTCACAAATTTAAAATCATAGCTGACGCCCTAAAACTGGAGTCACAATCCTAGAGATCCTATTTATATTGAGAGTAATCAAGGAAATGATTAGCAGATTTATAGAACAAAATGATCCAACAATGGACACCGGAAACCAAAATCATCAACCCCTGGAGGACTGGATTCAAAACCACACCATAAAAACTTGTAACCACAGGCTGATCCGACTTGCATGAATTTCATCACGACAACTCATAATGTGACTCAGTAGTGTGTATGGCCTGTATGCACTTTAGACAACGTCTGAGCATGCTCTTGATGAGTTGGCCAATGGTGCCGGGGGGGATCTCCTCCCAGACCGGATCAGGGCATCAGTGAGCTCCTGGAAAGTCTGTGGCAGTACTTGGTGGCTTCAGATGAATGGATGCATAACATCCCATAGGTGATCAATTGGATAGTGAATGCAATTGCATCAATACCTTCATCGTCCAGGAACTACCATCACACTCTGGCCACAAGAGGCAAGGCATTGTCCTGCACCAGAAGGAATCCAGTGCCGGCTGAACCAGTATGGTCTAACAATCGCTCTGAGTCCTTCATCCCTGTGCCTAACAGCAGTCAGGGTACCGTTGGCTATGACATGGAGGTCTGTGCTACCATTCAAGGATACGCCTCCCCAAACCATCAGTGACCCACCGCCCAACTGGTCATTCTGGATGACGTTACAGGCAGCATAACATTCACCACGGCGTATCCAGACTCTTTCACGCATGTCACATGTGCTCAGTTTGAACCTGCTCTCATCTGTGGAGAAAGGAGCAACAGTGGCAAACGTGCCAATTCTGCTGTTCTCTGACGAATGCCAATCGAGCTGCATGTTGCTGGGCTGTCAGTATAGGTCCCACTAGAGGACGTCGGGCCCTAATGCCACACTCATGGAGTCTGTTTCTGATTGGGTCAGATTTGGTGAGACACATGCACACCAGTAGCAGGCTGTGCTGGGAGACACAGCAAACCTACTTGTGACCGCAAGCAGTGTATAATAGTTCAATGAATTGTGATATACAGCTATGAGGCTCTTTGAAAGCATAAAACTGTAAATTATTTGATTCAACTATTTTGTAAGATTTCAAGATGAACATCTGTTTGACCAGGATGTTACACTGTACTAATCACATGCTCTTTCCACTCAACACCCGACTGACATTCCTAAAGTACCAACACATTACATCTCAGACATGCCCAGCACACTCATTTCTCTGGCCACTGAGCAGCTCAACTGGATGTGCCTTGCCTTTTAAGTTTAAGAAAAGTTATTTTTTCCATAAATTATTAATATTATAATTATCGTTTTATCGCCCAGCCAAATCACGAAGTGCACTCACGCTGAATGAAAGAAAAACAATGGACAGACCAGACAACAGTATAA